GTCCTGGGTTCTGTATGTTGAAAGCTCTTATCTGTACCAATGTACATGTTCTGGTCTAACCAGATTTTTAAGGTAGAACTGGGGTCATGATAGTGGCGGGGAGGGAAGGGAAGCATTAAAGAACTAGAAGGATGTTGTGTGTTCTGTTGGTGCTATGCTGCACCCTGACTGACTCATTCTTTCTTTGTAACCCTCCTGTGAGGGAATGCCCTATTGTCTACAGATGGGTTTCGGGTCTCCTCTACGATCCCTATAGTTTGCATCAATATACGTGTTAGTTTTGGGTCTTCTGATGCCTGATACCTGATCCTATCGACACCTCATGACGACACAGGCTGGTGTGCTTCTTCCATGTGGGCTTGTTGCTTCTCTGCTAGAAAGCTACTTGTTTAACTTCAAGCCTTTAAGACCTCAGATGCTACATCTTTTGATAGCCAGGCACCACCAGCTTTCTTCATTCACATTTGCTTATACACCTGTTTTGACTTCAGCAATTGTGTAGGGAAGGTGAGAATCACAGGTAACAGGTTATTAGAACAAAGTGTTCTTGTATTGAGGGAGGACTTGAGTTGAGACCCAGTGCCACCTGCTACCTAATATTTAACATTTAAATATTTGTATATAAACTTTTTATCCCTAATATATGGTTTACATATGTACATGCCTATATTTGTACTCTATGTTTTACCTCCTAGTTCTTTCCTCTATTTCCTTTTACTTTCCTCCTGTCCCACTATCATGTTTGACCTTCATTCGACTCTCAGTACTTTCTCTGAGCTACATTGCACTTGATCAACCCCCACCAGGCATTCTACACCTTTACCATTAATTTTAGATCTCTATTGTTCCTTTGTCCCTGGGTTTGTTGGCTCCCTGCTCCCTTTCTACCACCTCCTCTCCCGAGGAAAAAAAATAGGAAAAAACCCAACAACAACCCTATCAATAGTTCCAGGTCTGTCTGCTGACCCTTCTGAATGTTTTCCAATCAGATCTGGTGAAAAGTTGCTTCTCATCTCTAGATCATATCATAACCAATTTGAGTATATTTTGTTTCCTACTGAGATCTTGATGGATTTGGGCAAATCCTTATAAGGAATTCCTTGCTGCTTCTTTTTTTTCCTTTCCTCCTTCCTTCCTCGATATCGTTATGTTAAGCATTAAACCCCATCCATGCCACTGCTAGCTCATTGATTCTTACAGTGACCCTATAGAATTGAGTTGTACTGCCTATAAAGTTTTTAACAGTTACATACATGCAAAAAGTTAGCCAAATCACCCAAAATTTTAAATAAAAACACTATTTCTTACTCTTGCTGAGATTTACATGTATTATTTTCCATTTACATGTATGACTATTACTTTACATGTATTACATATATTACTCCTCAAAACAGCTGATATAGTGCTGATAAGTGCATCTTCTCAAAGAGAAATGTGCTATGGTGGCACAGCAGTGTAAGCACTGGCCAGGTTGCCAACTGGTAGGTCAGTGGTTTGAACCAGCAGCCATCCAATGGGAGGAAGAAGCAGCAGTCTGCTTCTGTGAAGACTTTCAGTCCCAGGGGTGCTGGGAGCAGCTCTACTCTGATAGGATGACCCTGCAAAACGGGCTCCACAGCTGGGGGCTGGTTTGATCAAAGTTAATGTGACGTTCAGAACACAAAGAGATTCTGTTTCTCGCACTTCGTGAAATTCACAATACCCGTTGAGATGTAGTCAATTACTCACTGTGGCCCTTCTGCCATAAGCCTTTTGGCCACAATCCCTTCTGTGATGTGCTCTAACTTTTTGCCTCTATGCCTATGGTTATAATTTCATGTTAGAAAGAGTTCTCAGTTACAGGCGTAAAGTGGGATGTACCTTTACTCTCTTATCTACTAGCGTGTGACTTCCGTTTTCCTTGGGGGTGTGGTCTGCTAAAAGATACAAACCGTACGTATAACCCTTTGGTGAAACATTTCCTTAAAGTTCATCAGTTTCAATGGCATGTTGCTGTGAATTGTGGAATATACTACGGGCAAATATGTGTGTGTGTGTGTGTGTGTGTGTGTCGGGGGGGTTATGAGTGGTATAACATCTTGAAAACGTTGGACAACTGGGACATGTTTCATCTCCACTTCCTTGTGACCAGTCTAGTATTAATTCTTCTAAAGAATATATTATCACACCCGTATGACTGATTAAAAACAAACCAAAAGGCAGTGACTAGTTTCCCTGAGACGCATTTGCTGCATGCACCTGGAACGTCTTCTGTGTGGGGATCGAGAACGGCTCCTCCTTCGATCTCTCTCCCGGGACCTTGACCTTTCTCGGCGTCTGCGTTCCCTCTCCCTGGATGTGGACCGGGACCGTCTTCGTTCTAATACAAACACAGGAAGTTGCAGAGAGGAAAACTACGTCATATCCTGGGAGAGCCGTGGTGAACGCCTCAGTGTCTGAGCACACTAGCTGCTCACAGGGAGAACGATATGGCAGTCTGCGTCCATTAAAAACAAAAATTAAAGTTTTATCGGCACTTCATCCACATGTCAGACCATTCAATAATTCAATCGTCTCAAGAAGCGTTGTACAATCCTCACCACAAGCAACCATAACAATTCACAATTTTGGAAACCCTAGGGGACAGTTCTTGTCTTCTGAGTGGCTGAATCAGAATTGCCACCACAGCAATGGGTTTGGCGTTTTTACATCCGTTATCGGATTCCCGCACAAATGGTTGAACGCTCCAACCCTACTCAAAACGTTGGCCGGTGGAATCCGACCTTGAAAAATGGGCCGGCCATCTTCTTCCAAGAGACCACAGCCTTGAAAATCCGGGGACTAGCAAACTAATTATAGATCTACTTTCTCCATCCTCAATAATAATGTGGGCTTTCACATGCTTTTATATACTAAGAGAATCCAAGTGTGTATTTTAGACTTACAGCGTGCCTCAATTAAAATGAAACACGTTTCAAGAGCTCAGTTGTCGCATGGGGCTGGTGGCCTCAAATGACCTATAAGAAAACGTGCAAGAACGCTGATGGGTTAGTAGAAGCTTGTCGAAAACTTCGCAGGAACAGAACGGAGGGGGTAAACTAGATCGCTTGACCTAAGCCCGGGGTTCTTTAGGTGGCCTGGCCTCAATGACGGGGTTAAGGGCCAAATGACTGGCTTTAGGAAGCCGCAAAATTGTATCGTTATTTCGTCTACAAGCGGGGAAGGGAACTAACTTCTTGAGCATCGAAGACCCCAGGCACTATCACCTACTGTTGTGGTGTGTGGCATTCATTCTCCCCTTCGTTTTTGAAGCTGCACCCATGACTCGGAATCCGTACACGGTACCCCAGTTGACAAGGGGAATTTGGACTCAGAGACTGGACTGTCCCACGTTCACCCCAGATAGCAAGAGAAAAAACTGTGGCCTAATACTAAATGTCTCAGCTACCACTAATACAACAAAGGTTAATGCATGAGGGTGGCCGTCGGCGGAATCCTCGATCAGAGAAAAGCGCCTGCAGCCTGGCGGGTCCGTTTTCCTCTCCAGCTTCAACGCTTCTTAGGAGTAAAAGGCCCGCCTCTCCACTGCCTAGTAAAGAAAAGAAAGTACTTCTGGCGGATCCTGCGAACCGCTTCGGAACTCACCTCTCCGCGGCGAGCGGCTGCGGCTGCGACCCATTCGGAGGCCTCCGTCGACTTCTACGGCCCCGGAAACGACTGTGCGACAACTTCCGGGAGCCCGAGAGCCGAGGTTCCGGGGCCGGGTGGAAAATGCAGCAGCGACGCGCGAAGGTTCCGGCCTGGAAAGCAGGGCGTTGCGCCCTCCCGGAAGGTAGCGGCCCCGCCCACCGTCGACGGAGGCTCCGCCCCCCGCGGGAATTGACCCGCCCTGGGACTGCAAGGCTGCCCGCTCGCTTTGCTGCAACTTCGTCGTCGTCGTCGTCTGTGTACAGCTGGGCGTTGAAAGGCGCTATTTGGGGAGCTGATGCCAGGGGCTTGGATGGAGAGCGGATGTTTTGAGAATGATGAGGCAATGAATGTACAAATGTGCTTTACACAATTGATCTATGTATGGATCGTGATGAGTTGTATGAGCCACCAATAAAATATATATAAAAAAAAAGAAATGGGGGACAGATCACAGGCATCTACATATACCCTCCTCCCTGGGGGACGGACAACAGAAAAGTGGGTGGAGGGAGACATCGGACAGTGTAAGATATGACAAAAGAATTTATAAATTATCAAGGGTTCATGAGGGAGGGGGCAAGGGGAGGGAGGGGAAAAATGAGCTGATGCCAGGGGCTTAGGTGGAGAACAAATGTTTTGAGAATGATGAGGGCAATGAATGTACAAATGTGCTTTACACAATGGATGCATGTTGGATTGTGATTGTATGAGCCCCCAATAAAATGACAAAGCTAAAAATAATAATAACAAAAGAGGAAAAAAAAGAAATGAGCTATTCGGTGTTATTATGGGAAAATGTAGCTGTCTCCTCTCCTCTCCCGCGCCTCCCCCACCCCATCCTTCTTTCCAGCCCCAGCCAGTCTATAGGCATACCTTACTCCCATCAGACACAACGCAAGCTGCACACGCGACCTATTTTCACAGAACATCCTCTCACCCGTTAGTGAGCTCTGTATCGTCTCGGATGCCAGCACCCATCGAGAAGGTACTCAAAAACCGCTAGGCACGAAGGGAGGAAAAATGAAGGCCTACATTCCACCCTGCCTTGGGTGGTAGCTGCTAAGTCAGTGTTGGCAGTTCAAGTGGACCCACGGGTGCCTCAGAAGACAGGCCTGGAGCCCTGCTTCCCAACAGCAGCTACTGGAAACGAGACCTACAGGCGGGTTGCCATGTGCTGGAATCGACTCTCTGGCAACCAGTTAGTTTACTCCGTCTAACCCCAGGAAAATACCTCCCCAAGCTGCTTCAGCTCGCTCAATGAAAGGCCTTAGAATGTTCAAATACACGGGGTGGGGGGTGGGGGATTCTCTCTCAGACTTGCAGCCTGGAGCTTATGTGGTGACACAGAACTATACTTACCAGGAAAGGTGTGAAACTGTATTTCCACTAGAATCTACTGTTTGCTGTGAGCTTTCACAAAGCTAGCAAAGTGGGAGGCAACACGATTCCTGACTAGATTTGTTTGGAAACACCTGCCCATAGCCACACTCTATTTCTTCTGAAATTGGATTCTTATATTCTGATGGGAGTTCTTTAATACCAGCCCCAGCCCAGCTCCCTAGAAAAGAACCAGCCATGATATATAGGCGTTCCAACACCAGGCCTAAGTCGTCCCCCATCCTACTCTCCAGAATTACCTGACAGGTGGTGGTACAAAGGTGTGGAACTGCGGTTCTCAACCTGAGGGTCGTGACCCCTTTGGTGGGGGGGGTCAAACGAACCTTTCCCAGGGGTCGCCTAATACATCCTGCATATCAGATATTTACAGGATGGATCATAACAGTAGCAAACTTACAGTGATGAAGTAGCAACGAACATAATGTTATGGTTGGGGGGGTCACCACAATATGAGGGACTGTATGCAAGGGTTGTGGCATGAGGCAGGTTGAGAACCACTGGTGTGGGAGGAGGGGGGTCCAAGTGAATACAGGCCACAGGGAGGAATGCTAGGACTGTCACTGGAGAAAAGACAGAGAGAATGAAGAAGCCGCTCTGGGGACTGGTGATTCAAACCCCACCCATCCAGACAAAGCTGTGGCAGTCTGCTTCCCCAAAGATTACAGCCTTTGGAAACCCTATGGCGCAGTTCTACTTTATCCTGAAGGGTCGCTAAGAGTTGAAGAGGTTGTCTTGTCCACAGGGAACACTGGGAAATGATGGGAACCCTGAGTACCTCTGGACTCGAGCTGTAAGAGGGGGGGCCAATGGTGGCCCCAGCAGGTAGCGGAAAACACTTTCAAGAAACCCTTCTGGGACTTCCCCGAAATGGTTGGGGGCTGTGATGACGATCAGTTGAGTAAACACAAACGTTTGAATTCCTATTATGGGTAAGACACGATGCCACGTTGGCACAAGGATAAAAAGATGCCCAAGACACGGTCCCTGCCTAACAGTGCTTACAATCTGGTTGTAGAGGTAGACAGACAGACCAAAA